GTTGCTGCTTGAGGCACTTGCGTTAGGTTCAGTGGGTTCAGTGTTACGTAATCCCCACGTTCCCTGCAAGTTACATTAGTGGAGAGATGTTACTGGTATGAGCCGGATTTGGTGAGAGAACTCTTCTGTGCAATAACAGTTCTGCACAGAGTGAGACAAAACCTGAATGTTGTTTATCCACAGAAATAGCTTGCCTTAAGTTAGTCTGTCCTAAGAACTGAGCCCCACGTATGAGGTGCCTGGCTCGACGCAGATGGGACAGCCTTGCCACACTGGATTCCTGAACGGGCGGATGACTTGGGAGCTTCTCTTTTCCTGTAAACACACTGTTCTTCCCAAGATTACCTTTCATAAATTAACTTCTTATTAGAAAAGAATCCCATGACTCTTTTAATAATAGAGTCTTATTGTGTTAAGATATAATATATACACAGTCAAAAGTAATCCATTAGAAAATCCAAATTTGAAATTGAACAATTGACTTTTGGAGGAAAACCAGTTTTTTTCTTGCTTAGAATCAGCATGACATTATGAATGCACTATGTAAAAACACAAAAATGTTACTTTTTATAAATAGCCCTGATATATCTAGAAAAGGTAACATGTTAGGTGGGAAATTTTTTGGTATCTGGGTAAAATCACGTTTGTGCCAGAAAACAGGTTACTTGAACAGAAAATGAATTTGAACTGATAGCTTATGCTTGTAGCCTTCTCAGACGAGCAAGGTTGCTGAAAATAAATAGGCCTATAGATTTCAGGTGTTTTTTTAATACTTTTAACTGAAGTAGTCACTTGAGTAATATGAGTATAGATAAGGCCATAACACGTGTGATATCACTAGAGTGAGATGTTGTCAGTGAAACCCTTCTGGATCTAAAGAAGCTATGCATTTTATATTTTGCTTTTCTATTAGAATATATTTAAACCTACCTTGCTCAGAAAATAGGCAAATCTTACCTGCTTTGCTTAAACATACTGACTCAGGATCACCATTGAAAACACCCCACACGTCATGTTTTCTCTCAGGTGCTCAGTAAGTATTTAAGTGGATTAATTAGTGGAAGTTGTTGCCAGCCCCTGCCCCCAGGGAACCATGGACAGCTGAGGGACCCGTCGAGCAGATGGGCCCTGCTCTGACTGGCACTGTTAGGTCAGCACCTCCAGCTCCACCTCACGGCCCCGTTCTCTAGCGTTCTAGCCTGATTCTCTCCTTCCCTACTCACAGTCTGCTTCTAGCTGGTATGAACCAAGATTGGAATAATGTTGGTCCACTAAGGGCACTTCTCAGCTTGCCAGTAAGTTCATTTGCCTTTGTTTCCACCAAGTAAGAGAAGAACCTTACAGCCCATCAGAAAATAGCCCTGTTCGGTGGGGAGGAGAGATGATCACGTTAACTCTTTTACAGATCTTTAGAGAGGATAAATACTTAACCCAGAGTTACAATGACTCAATGAATAAATTTGGACTACCCTCCAAGTCTTTTGATTCTTTAAGGTGGTATCAGGTATGTAAATTTTATCACGTGGGACTTTAAAAATTTATCTCTGGCTGGTCCAATTTCATTTGTATTTATTTTTGTTTGATTCTAAGTAATTGAGGTGATCATCTATGTGAGGTGTCTGTAAATTAAGAACTGGAGTTGATCTGTATACTTCTGTTTTTGAAATGTTACCAAGTACATTGTGAATTACAAAACAGGTATTTTGTCGCTGCTAAGTGGGGAGAGGGAGTTGAGGGCTGAAAAGTGTTTTTAGTAGCCTCACCATTTTCCCTAAGGGCGATCAGAAATTTAAGTCTATAAAAATAGAATTTTTTTCTATAGAAAGTATCCTTCTCAAAACTGCTTAGCTAAAAACATTGAGGGCCAGAATCAGTTGCCTTGTCCCTGGTTCTTGACTTGGTTCTGTTTTTGTCTTATTTTAGGTTAGCTCCATTCAGAACCAGATGCAGTCCAAGGGGGGCTACGGGGGTGGGGTGTCTGCCGGCCTGCAGATGCAGCTTGTGGATACGAAGGCTGGATAGCCCCAAGTCCTGTCTCCCGTGAGTACCTGGGTCATACACCGGAAAAGGCAAACATTTTACCCTGCTAAGTGTTCCAGGGGAGGGTTGTAGGCACTTTGAATAGTAGTTTTCGGTTGCTCTTTTCCTTACGAAGAACACTTATAAGTGCTATAAGACAACCATGTGGGGAGGCGGCTTTCATTCTTTAAACATGAATGAAATTACTATTTTGAATATTGGTACTTTGGGGGAATGTCGTGTGTAGTGAAGTACCTTTATGTTTTTTAGACTGCATTATTGATAAAAGTGTAAAAATAATTTGGATTCTTCTTTTGGTTTTATAGGTCATTGTGAATTTGTGTTTTCTCTTTTCACTCTTCTTTAATTTGTTGTTGTTGATTCCTTTTCAAATACAAAAAAGAAGTGTGATGGCATCTTGTTCACCCTGTTGTGATTCCTCCAGTGAGACGTTCTTGTTCTGCTCTGAAGAAGCTGTCGTCAGATGAACCCTGCATTTCCTTTGGCTGGCATGCATGCCTTTGGACTCACGGACTTTGGATCGTGGCTTCATTTTTATCGATTATGGATCTGATCTTAGCATGGTCTTTGTTGTGAATGCTAGCACTATTTTGCATTTTTCTCCCATTTTAAACGTTTCTATTGCCATCTCCAGCCCTCTGCCTTATGAGTTTGTTGGTAAGGTAGGACCTGCTTTTGTTAATTTGTCACTGTTTCTGTATATTTTGGAAGGTAGGACATCCACAAGCACAATGATCATTTTTATTCGTTTGAAACTTGAGCAGAATCGGTATCTGCATGCTTTATGGAGTCGCTTCATCTGGGAGGCCAGGAATGAGTGTTTCCTTGCTGCCGTTAGAGAGGGATTAGCTGTGGCACCAAGTCACGTCAGTTTCACACACACAAAGGTAACGTGTAGCTTCTTTTAGAACTAAAATCTGGCATTTCATAAGGTGTTCATTTGGTTGTAAATGTTCAATATATTTATTTTGAGAGTGAGGACCTGTATTTGTGAACAGGTGTGGTTGTGTATCAGAGTGTTGTGGTGATGCCTTCATCCAGTCTCATTGTGTACTCATTCTGTTTTGACTTGTTATTTTAATATGATGGGATCCATGTGTTTCCACTAACTGTTAACTCCTGGCCAGTACCACTAACTGCAGAGTCATTGGCCTTTCCATATTCAGACCTGTTTTGGGGCAGTGGAAGTTAACCCAGAGCAATATAATGACTTGATTTGTTAGGACATTGGTGAGAAACCATTGCTTAGGCTCCAAAATGTTTATTCTTCATAAATTATGTGTATTTCAGATACTTCTGTAACTACTTTCTCTTCTCTGTGAGGGCAGGGTTTCTCATTAAAATGTTTAAATCCTAACTACATTTAGTAGGATTAATATTTTATGCAGCAAATGGGACTTAGGTGACAATGTAGACAGCTAAGAAAATAGGTGAGTAATTGTTTTCTTTGCATCTTAGTCCCAGGTTCTTACGAACCAGGTAACTGGATAAATAGCTTACAGAGGGAAAGCAGTGCTTCTGAATAGAACTGACTCAAGGCAGTGGGGCGCTGGATTCCTCAGTGCTTGTGTGTCTGCAGTTGGTGGCTTCATAGGTGTCAGTCCCAGGGAGAATCTGTCGAGGAAATATTCAAGCTTAGTAATTTAAAAACAGGCAGTTTGCAGTTTAATTTACTGTGTGGATACAGCGTTCTGGGATTTGCTGAGGACCCGTGGTGTTCTTCTCAGCCAGAGTCTGTGTCCTGCCACAGACTACAAGAGAGATTGGATTTCCTGGGCCTTGTCCATAGTGATGCCCTTTAGTCTATTTTGACTTTTAAAATTAGTGGAACTTTTATACTTGTCCTGTAACTCCTGGATTCACAATACAGAGAGCCCTGCTCCTTTTTCTTGAACTCATGATTTTGATATCTTCTGTGTGGACCAAATGCTCCAGTGAGTACTGGAGCGTACCTCCATGGTAAGAGCAGATAACTGACCTACAGTAGCCACACTGTGTGCAAGAACATATGCCAAGGAAGGTGCCAATAAATGCAAGAAATGACAAAAGATTTTAATATATTAACCTTGGGCACACATTTTTTAGGGAGGCTTTTGAAGAGTGTGAAGGGTGGCAGCTTCCCCACATCATCTGCGGGATTGTAACTCTTGGGCCATGTGTCTCATTTTAAAATTGAATCTAAATAAATAGGATTGACTGTTAGTACTTTGCTGAAGTACATGCTGACATTTAGCACGGGAAACTGAATGAAGGTTTAACCAATGCCCTGGATTCTGTTAATTAATTATCTGCATTCTATAAAAGAGGTGCTTTCCCATGATGTAGGCAAGGCATGAAGTGGTGCCAAGAAGAAAGGTTCACTATAGTGATTGGGTTCAGCATTTCCAATGCAGCATTATCGCCTTTAAAGAAAGATACTAGCTTTCACTTTTGTTATTAAATTATAGCAGTTTCATTATAGAGAGCAAGTTTGCCTTGATTTTGTTTAAAATGACTTCTGCTCAGCACCCAGAAGATAAAATTGACATATTTTTATAATATAAGCATACTTTTTTTGTACATTGTGTTCATTCAGTGTTGGCTTGTAGATATTAAAAGAAAGTATTGATTTTGATTGAATAAATGTTTTCTTTCCATCCTGGTTTGGTTTTTCCTTTCTTAGTTCCTTTCAACTAGAATTCACTAATTCACTTAGAGCATGTTTTTAAGCATTCCTGTATTTTTAGTTAAGATTACTCTCCTGCACAAACCATCACTTTTTAAAAGCCGTGCACTACCGTATTGGGCAGTTATGGACCATTTCCAACATGATAAGTTTGGGTTGTCACAACTTGAGGAAAAGGGGACTGCTGACCATCTGTGGTGCAGATGGTTAGCACTCTTCCCCCCCCCATCCCCAGACGTCATAGTGCCACAGTTGAGAAACCCTGGCTTAGGAGAAAGAATATGTATATACTCACCAAATACATCCAGTTAGAAAGTCTTCAGTGCGTGGGACCTCGTGCATAGGTCTGTTAGGTTTGGCTGTAGTTGGGTCTAAGGTAGAAAAGCCAGTGACAAAAATAGTAATAAATACTTCAAGAAATTTTCATAACTTTGTCCTCATTTCATGGCCTAAGACTCTGAGGTAATTGGGTTAAGATGAAGTTCTTTCTACCATTGATAAAGTAGCTATCTGTAGAAACTGATGGTGGTTTATCAGGAATTCTATTTTGAGCACGTGTTCAAAGGACATGAATAAAATGTGCAAGGGTTCATAAGTTTATGTTTTTATAGATTTATCCTACCTTTTTGTGCTTTAGAGATAGAGTTGGGAATTTGCTAAAACTTGTGGAAATGCAAAAATCTACAAAACTGACAGGGAAGGAAATTATTTACCCTCTGCTTAAAATATGCTTTGAGCACACTGCAAAGGAGAACAATTGAAATGTTACCTTCGGTTTACCGTCTCCAGTAAACAACAACTGTTGATGTGACTTTACATTCATTTTTATGAGGTTTTCGATGCTTTCCACCACTTAGCTACAGCCTCTGGGCTGCTTGGGACCCCATTCCTCATCCCCCAGTCTCCACCTGCCCCTTGATGCCCAAAGGAAAGAAGTTCCTACCAGAATAAGGAGAGCCAGGTGTTTGCTCTGAAGCCTCACAAGCAGCCAGGAGGGGATGCGGTCCTGGCATGGAAGGCTGGGTGACGCTAGTCGGACAGGAAGGTGACGGCAGCGGAGCCAAGACACTGGCCAACTCCAGCCCGTGCTCCACGGGAGCCTTTACACCTCACGGCGGGGAAGCTTTAGATCGAAAAATGCACTGGTCGCTGCTTTGGGGGCACAGAAAGGACCCCCAAGCAAGGATCTTTAAAAATTTTGGGGTTTGGTCCTTTCAAGGAACAGCAAGTAAGATTATTTAAAAATCCTCAGAGCTTCACCTGGTCACCTTCTTAATTTATTAATTGCAGCTGCCTCAGCACATACATCCTTTATACGTCTGGGCCTTTCAAATATTGGAGCCGGCTGATTCTTTACGTTAGACCCCGATTCTGTTCAGCAGACCGCTCGGGCACGGCCCACAGACATTTTTGTTGAGGTTTCTGGGTGTCTTTAAATATCATTGTTTCCCTGTTCAGAAACAGCACAGACAAGAGGTAAGAATCATCGTTGCTGCTTTGAGCACAGCCACCCGGATTCCAAATTCCAAACAATGTAATTTTTGAGTTTTTCACAGTTTTTGCTGCTTGGATAGTGTCTTTGTTGGTGCTCTTGTGGCAAAATACCCCAGACTAGACAGCTTATAAACAAGAGAAGTCGGCTTCGCCTAGTTCTGGAGGCTGGAAGTCCACGATCAGGGAGCCAGCGTGGTCACGTGAGGGGCCTCTTCCAGGCTGCAGACTCCTCAGATCTTCATGTGCTGGAGGGGCCAGGAATCTCCTCGTATGGCATCTCTTCGTGAGTGACACCCTCATGACACTGTCACACACCTCCCGGTCACCTCAGCCTCCTGACCATCACCTTCGGGACTTAGGATTTCCTCACGAACTGCAGAGGGGACACACACATTCAGACCACAGCACGCAGCTACAGAAGCGAGTGACTGCGATGGTCCCTCGGGAGCTGCGGCCACCTCCAGCCTGGGTACCGCCGAGCCAAGGCTGCAGGCCGGGAGCCTCTCCGGATCAGGTACTGCTGCAACCGAGAAACAGAAACAGGCCATCCTTTCTCCTCCCGTCTACCAGTCTGCTACTCCTCAAGGAGACTAACCTGACAGACATTTCCGAAGAAACCAGCCTGCGATGACGGTCAGCTGAGGGATGAGCAGTTAAAGGAAACGGAGGATTCCAGTGCTTCAACCTGTGCAAAGAAAATGCTCTGAAGGGGAGGGAATATCAAAAAGAAATGCTCTCTTCAAGCTTTGTGTTTTGAAATTTCAAAAAACTTTATCATTTATACTTTCCCATTTCACAGCCTGTTCAATAAACCTTTTGTTCGGAAGACTTGTATCCAGGTCTGGGAAATTATTTCTCTGATTATTTCTTCTGATGTTGAGCATCTTCTCATGCACTTATTAGCCATTTGTGTATCTTTTTTGGAGAACTGTCTTTTAGGTCCTTTGCCCATTTTTAAATTGTCTTTGTTGTAGTTGAACAAGAGATCTTTTATTTAATAAAGAAATCTTTAAAATTACTATATATTTCCAATATATATTTCCAGTGTGAATACACTGAGGATGAGTGTCTTAGCCACCCTGACACTGGGTCTGTTGAGTGACACCCCTACGGATCCCTGAAGCACAGCCCGCCCTGCCTTACCTTGCTCTTTGTGTCCAGGCCCCTTCCCTCTCAGGGGGTCTTCCTCACATTCTTCTCGCTACGAGTGTGTCTCCCTTCTAGTTTTCCACTTAGTAGTTAAAATTCTGACTCTTAGTGTGTTTTAACTTAGAAAACAAGGAAGCGCTCCGTCTCACCAACAAGTCAAAAGTACAACTTTAGTGCATTTTCTACATGGAATTGGTTTTAGTTATGGGAGCATCTGGATTGTATTTGGAATAGTTGCAGTTGTCAGATAAAGGAGGTGTTGGCCAGCTAAGACTCTACTGGCAAAGAAATGAAATTCTAAAGGGACGCCTGGGTGGCTCAGTCAGTTAAGTATCTGCCTTCTGCTCGTGTCGTGATCCCGGGGTCCTGGGATCGAGTCCCCACATCGGGCTCCTTGCTCAGTGGGGAGCCTGCTTCTCCCCCTGCTTGTGCTCTGACAAATAAATAAAATCTTTAAAGAAAAATGAAATTCTAGAAAAGATGAAATGGAACAGTTAAGGTACAGAACTACAGAAGTGTGAGGAGGGGAAAGAAGCAGGGAGAGAGAGGGGGGTCGTAGTAACACATCCTACAGTTACTGAGCACTTGCCAGGTGGCTGGGCACCACCAAAGGATTATACATGGGTTAACTCACTTCATCCTCAGAGCAACAATAAAAATGACATGGGTTATTGTTGGTAACCAGTTTGAGGATAGAGAACTAAGGCACAGGGAATGTACAGCTAATACGTAATATATTAGTTACCTGTGGCTGTAAATCATCACAAACTCAGTGGCTCAAAATAGCACAAGTTCAGTGGGTCAGAAGTTTGGGCCCAGGTTGGCTGGGTCTTCCACCCAGGGTTTCACAAGTGGGAGTCGAAAGTGTTAGCTGGGCTGTGCTCTAATCTGGAGGCTTTATGAGGGAAGAAGCCACTTCCAAACTCACTCAGATTTTGGTATAATTAATTCCCTAAGGAACAGAAGGCTCCACCTTGCCGACTGTTGGCTGAGGACATGTCTGCACCCCCACATTCACTGCAGTATTATCTGCAATTGCCAAGATTTGAAAACAACCGTCTGTTGATGAATGGATGAGCAAAATTTGGTATGTGCACAGGAGTATTATTCAGCCTTAAAAAAGAAAAAAAATATCTAGCCTTTGTGACAACATGGACGAACGTGGAGAACATTATGCTATGTCAAGTAAGCCGGGCACAGAAAGACCGCTATCACATGATCTCCCTTATATGTGGAAGGTGGTGGTTGCCAGGGGTTGAAGGGGTGGGGCGGGAAGATGTCGATCAAAAGGTACAGAGATTTATGCAGGATAAGTAAGGTATGGAGTGGTTCTGTACGGCATACTGACTACAGTCAGTAATACCAGATGGCATACATGAAGTGGGCTAAGGTAGGTGATTTTAAGTGTTCTTACCACATGCAAATTTTAAGTATGTGAAGTAACAGATACGTTAGTTAGCTTAATTGTGGTAATGGTTTTGCAGTGTATACATACATCATCATGTTGTACCCCTGTATGCCGCCATACACCGAATATTTATGCCCCACCTTCATTCATGGGTTGAAATCCTAATCCCTAAAAGTGAGGGTATTAGGAAGCGAGGGCTGTGGTAGGTGATTAGGTCAAAAGGGTGAAGCCCTGATGAGTGGGACTGCTACCCTTATAGAAGAAGCCCCTTCTCTGTGAAGACACAGCAAGAAGGCACCATCCATGAACCAGGACATGGGCCCTCAAAGGACGGGGCATCTGCTGGCACCTTGATCCCTGAACTTCTCACAACCGTGAGAAATAAATTCTGCTGTTTATAAGCCACGCAGCCTATGGTATTTTGTTACAGCGGCCCAAATGGACTAAGACATACAACGCAAATACACACAATTTGTAATTGTCAAGTATATATACCTCAATAAAGCAGGGAGGACCCCCAAACACAACAGACTCTTAAAAACATAAATCTTCTATGAAAAATAGTAAAGTCCTTAAACCAAAACAATGAAAGAGGGAGAGCAACAGAAAATCTAAATAAATGAAGAAATACACTGGGCTCATAGACCAAAAGACTAAATTTTACAAAAATGTTAATTTCCTTCAAATCGTTACATAATTTCAAGAAAATCCCATTCAAAATTGCAATTGTATGGAAGTTGATAAGCTGGTCATTAAATTTATCTGGAAATACAAATGCTATGAGAACAGCTAATATATTCTTGAAATACAACAGGGTCAGCCATATTTCTCTACCAGGTATCGGTACGTAGTGTAATGCTAGAGCATTTAAAACAATGTGGTATTAAGGAATGGAAGAACAGCCTGGCAAACCAGAACACAGACCCCCGAATAAACTCACACATACTGTGGCCAGCTGATTCACAGCAGAGATAGCAACGCAGAGCAGTGGAGCAAAGGATTTATCTTTTCAACAAACGGTCCGGGGGACGCCTGGGTGGCTCAGTCGGTTAAGTGTCTGCCTTCAGCTCAGGTCATGATCTCAGAGTCCTGGGATCAAGTCCCGCATCAGGCTCTTCGCTCAGTGGGGAAGTCTGCTTCTTCCTCTGCCCCTCCCCCTGCTCATGCTCTCTCTGATAAATAAATAAAATCTTAAAAAAACAAACAGTCCAGGAACAATCAATGGTTGGGAGACTGAAACCTGACTCTACGCACAAAATTCTATTCCAGATATATTGTAGAGCTGCATTGAAAAGGCATAACATTGAAGTATTTGAAAGATAACACAAATACATTAATGAATATGGAAGAAGAAAAGACTTCTTAGATCACAAAGAAAGCACTAACCATAAAGGAAACAAGTAATACATTTCTCTAGTTTAAAATTAAGAACTTCCCTTCATCATGACCACATATGCCACTGAGTGGGAAAAGATGTTTGCCACAGATGTGACAAAGGAGTCATATCCAGAATGCATAAGAAGTATCTACAAATTGATAAAAATGAAAAAGACTCAAAAAGGCACTTCATAAAAGCAGAAATCAAATACGGGGCACCTGGGTGGCTCAGTCGTTAAGCATCTGCCTTCGGCTCAGGTCATGATCCCGGGGTCCTGGGATCGAGCCCCGCATCAGGCGCCCTGCTCAGCGGGAAGCCTGCTTCTCCCTCTCCACTCCCCCTGCTTGTGTTCCCTCTCTAGCTGTCTCTCTGTCAAATAAATAAAATTCTTTAAAAAAAAAAAAAAGCAGAAATCAAATGGCCCACATCAATATGCAAAGGAGCTCAACACCACTAATAACCAGGGAAAAATGAGAACTAAAACCATAATAAAATACCACTGCATATCTACCAAAATGGCCAAAATCACCACCACCAAAAACACCAGGTGGTCAGAGCAGACGGAGTGCTGCCAGGAGCCTGTGGACTAGGCGTCCGCTCAGTATAGACTGTAGAAGTCTGACCGGTTCTTGTGTTTATTACCTGCTTTTCATTCCTGTTCAGAGTTGGGCCATTTGCATTTTCTGGAAGATTTCCCTTAGGAGCCCTGGAAAAGACCAACACTCATTAAATATTCCAGATCCTACGTCCAAATGCACAAACGATGTATACGGAAATAGCTGTAACCATACTGTCTACTCATGAGTGTCCGAAGTTTATCCATCTACAATCTAAAATTCTTTATTTTCTGGTTGGAAATGTTTCAGTTTAGGGGTTTCAAATTAGGGGTGCCTGGGTGGCTCAGTTGGTTAAGCATCTGCCTTCGGCTCAGGTCATGATCCTGGGGTCCTAGGATCGAGCTCGGTGAGAGGATCCCTGCTCAGTGGGGAGTCTGCTTCTCACTTTGCCCCTTCCCTTCCCCCTCTCGCTGCTTGAGCACTCTAATAAATAAAATCTTAAAAAAAAAAAAAAAAATTACCTTGCTCTTACCTTTCTAAAGACAAAGACCACAAGGGACACATGGTTGTGTGGCGCCATCTGGTGGCTCCAATGTATTTTACCACAGCTCCCCGTTCTAGTCCACATTTTTGTTCTTGCAAAGGAGAGGGGTTTCTGCCCATGATCATCTGCCACCACAGTCCAAGTACAGTGCAGCAGAGCTAACGCTTCCACGGCATCAATCCCAAACCTATGTACTTTTTCATAACGGGACTGAGCAACTTTCCATGTTTAATGGACAATTTCCCCTCTTTTATGTAGCATTTAAGTCTTGCCTGTTTTCCCACTGAATGTTTTTTCTTTGTGCACATAGAAGTACTTTATGTATTCTGGATACTGGTCCTTTGAAGGGTGTATGAATTACATTGTATTTTCCAACCGTATGGACTTCTCTTTTTTTAAAATGGTATTTTAGGATAAACCTGCCATTTCCTTTAAAGTTTTCTTACAAGGCTCTTATTTAAGAAATCCTTCCCACTTCGGAGATTTTGTTAAAATCGTATTTCTTCTGTAAGCCTTTGGTACAACTTTTTGATAAAGCCATCCAGGCCTTCAGTTTTGTTTGCGGGAAGGCTTGTAAAATGAGATTCCACTCCTTTAATAGCTATAGGACTACTGAATTTTCCTTCTTGTTAGTTTTGCAAAGTTGTTCTTTTCTGTGAATTTATTTCATCTACATTTTAGTTATTGAAAGTGTCTCATAGTCTTTAATGACATTAATCGTAATCATTTTTTCATTCCTTTTTTTTTTTTCCATTCCTAATGATAGTTTTGCTATTTTTCTTTTTTCTTGGTCATTCCCAAGAGATTAGCAATTTATTAGTCTTTTTAAAGAACTTAGTGCTTTGTTGATCCTTTCGGGGGCATCTTATTTATTTCATTA